CCTTCCCCAGGGCTGGGCTGGAGCTCCGGGCAGGAAGCCTGGGTGTGGCTGGGGGCAGCCCCCCTCCTAGAACCCTCAGGGGAACCTTGCAGCTGATCTGAGCGCAAAGCCTCCGGAAACCAACCCACCAGGCGGCTTGAGGAAGCTCCCGGCCCGCCCTCGGTGGTCTTGTCCTGCCCTCGTGGGCCAGACACTTGTCTTGCCTTCTCTCTGGGTCCCAGAGGGGGCCTCTCGGGCTGGGCGGGAGCAGGTGGCCCGTGAAGATCTCTGCTGTGTGTTCTCTCTCTAAAGCGAAAGGCGCAGCCCAAAGGAAGTGGTGAGCGAGGAAGCGCACGGCGGTCAGAGCCGGTTGGAAGCCGCTCTGCTGGCTGTGTGGCCCCAGCTCAGTCACTGCACCTTTCTGGGCCTCGTTTTCTTGCCTGTGAAATGGGGAGCCCTCGGGAACTGTAGAACCCTGGGCTCCAGCTCCTGGCCGGGGTGGGAGGCTGTGTGCCCCACCCCCCCCCCCCCGGTGCTGGTCACCACCATGCACCCGCTCAGGCTCGAGAGCAGCGACCTGTCCCCAGGTGAGGCGGAGCCCGTTCCCACGGCTCAGACACGGCAGCCCAGCCCGTCCAACCAGCCCAGAGGGCCCCCGGGGGCGAGTGGGGAGGGAGGAAACGGCCGAACCCCGCATGAATGGGGCGTGGAACTGTGGTTAGCCTCTCCCAGGTCCGGGGCACAAGCCTGTGCCCGACTTGTTGAAAAGGGAGGTTGGCAAATAATTGGGAGTGTCCCTGAAATCCAGACAGGCACCCTGACTCTCGGGGGAGTGGCTCCCGCCAAGGCTCCTGGGAGCTGCCCAGGCCCCTCGTATGGCTTAGCAGCCTTAGGACGTCTCTTCAACTCTCTGCCTCGGGCCCACCCCTTCAAGGTGGAGATAAGTTCCTGCCTCGCAGGATAACATGCAGAGCTGTCAGAACAGCACCGGACGCGTCGGGAGTCCATAGCAGGCAGGTTAGCTGCTGTGGACATCCTCATTGTTACTTTATTTTATTAGTTTCTTATCATCCTCACCCAAAGACATTTTGCATTTATCCTCAGATAGAGCAGGAGGGGGAGAAGGAGGAAGAGGGAGAGAGAAACATCGATGTGAGAGAGACACATCGACTGGCTGCCACCCACACGACCCCAACCGGGGCTGGGGACAAACTGCAACCGAGGTACGTGCCCCTTAGCGGGAACCGAACCCGGGTCTCTCCGGACCGCAGGCCGACGCTCTAACCGCTGAGCCAAACCGGCCAGGGCCATTCTCGTTATTTTAAACTTGGCCATGTGTCAGGCAGTACGCTCTGCCCCTGACATGCATTCGCCTCATTTGATCGTCTCATTAACCCCACGACAGTCCCCCAGTATTCCCACGATCCCCATTTTACAGATGAGAAATCTGGGCTCTGAGCTGGGGCTGGGGCTCACCCTAGACCAAGCGACGGGCCGGGTGGAGCCTGCTGGCCTCCCTCCCTGTCCTGTGGGAGGTGCTGGTTCTTCACCCGGTTCGGTCCGTCAGGAGCAGGGCTGAGGAGGAGGTGAGCTCCGCTCGAGTGTGGGCCAGGCAGGTGCCCACGCGGAAAGACATGAAGGCAACTAGGCTTCTGTCCCTCCGCACCACCTGCTGATCCCTGGCATCTGCCACCTCTTCTCCTGCCGGTGGGGGTCAGGCCTCCTTCTGTTGTTAATTTTCTTTTTCAGACACACTGTCAGGCTCCCGCCAGGTTGTTCCTACCTGTCCCTCTCCCTCCCTCCCGGGACATGGCTGCCTGTTCTCCCTCCCAGCTCTGCGCCAGGGTCCCTCTGCCCTTTATGGGATGTCACGGTGGCCAGGGCTGCTGGTGGGTCCCCTTTAGCCACCTTCCCAAGCCCCCGTAGAACCTGCAGCTTCCACATGTTTGGCCTCGGTTCCCTCCTGGGGAACGAAGCAGACTCACTCCATTTCGCAGGTGTGTCCCTGAGTCTGACCTGCCAGCAGCCCCGGGAGAGAGCTCCGAATGCCGAGCCCTCCCCCGGCACCATGCTGGGTGTGCTCCAGACCTGATGTCACCTGAGCACAGGGCAGCTCTGAGGCTCGCTTCCAGAGGAGCAGCCCAAGGCTCCGAGAGGCCAAGCCGCTTGTTCTGGGTTGCAGAGCCGGGCAGAACCCACGTCTGATTCCAGAGGCTGGGGAAGGGTTAGCAGTGGCCATGACCCCCAGTGAAAGCCAGAGAGGGCTTGGGGTCTCCTGTGCTAACTAGCCACAGAGCAGCCGCTTCCTTCCTGCGTGCCCGACAGTCCCCGTGAAGCTGCACCTGCCACTCGGACTGGACCGGTGCCCGCCCAGGGGCTCCGGGCATTCTGTCTGTTCCCTCCCCTGGTCGCCTCCCTCGACTGAGAAAGGAGAGGCGGCTAGTGCTGGGAGGAAGAGTGAAAGGCGACAGCTAGATGAGCTTTCACAGGCCGAACCCCTGTGACCCCCCACCCACATCGAGAGCAGAACACTGTCAGCCCCCAAGGGTCCCCCGGGCTCCCGCCCGGTCACCATCCTGACTTCGAGCTGCAGAGACGGTGTCAGCACTTTTTATTCTTTATAGAAGCAGGGTACAGGGGTTGTCTGTTTTGCTTTTTGTTGTTGTTTTTATTTTAGTCTATTTTATTTTTTTATCCTCACCTGAGGAAATTTCTCCATTTTTTGTTCAGATAGAGTGGGAGGGAGAGAGAGGAAGAGGGAGAGAGAGAAACATCGATGTGAAAGAGACACATGGAGTGGCCGCCACCCGCACGACCAACCAGGGCCGGGGACAAACCACAACCGAGGTACATGCCCTTAGCGGGAACCGAACCCGGGTCTCTCTGGACCACAGGCCGACACTCTAACCGCTAAGCAAAACTGGCCAGGGCCATAGTTGTTTTTAAAAGACTTTAGAGAGCACCCAGCCGGTGTCGCTCAGTGGTTGAGCATCGACCCATGGTTCGATTCCCAGTCAGGGCACGTGCCCAGGTTGTGGGCCTGATCCCCAGTCGGGGGCATGCAGGAGGCGGCCAATCAATGTTCCCTCTCATCGATGTTTCTGTCTCTCTCCCTTCTTCTCTCTCTCAAATCAATAAAGAAAAAATATTTTAAAAGACTTTAAGGAGCTATTTTAACAGCTTTACTGAGATAAGCACTCGCGTATTACGCCCTTTGCCCATGTGACGTGCACAGTTCATCTTAGAACATGTTCTTCTCCCCCAGAGGGTACACTGTGTTTATGGGCTGTGCCCCCCGGTCACACAGCCCCTGGCAGGCACTGGGCTGCTCTGTCTCTGTGGCTGTCCCTGCTGTGGGTGTGGCGTAGGGGCGGAGTCATGAATGTGTGGCCGTCTGTCCCGGCTGCTGCTGTCACTCGGGTCGTGTTTCCGAGGTTCACCCGCACTGTGGCAGGTGCCGGCACCGCCTCGCTCTCGATGGCTGAGTAGTACTCCAGGCCACCGGTTCTGTGTGGCTCCGTCTTCACCTGGGCGCGCGTGAATCTAAAACACTGGTGCCCACTGACGCGGCCCTTGAGTTGGGTCCGAGCGCGGGCCGTGCTGGGGGCACAGGAGGGGCAGGGAGGGGCGGGGGATGGGTTCTCGCTGCAGGGCAGGGGCGGAGGGGCCAGCAGTGCCTTCAGGGAAACTCGCAGCGGAAACCGTGCTTACTCTGCTCCGTGGCACTTCCCCTTTCCCCGCGTGACTTTCTTCTAGTTCTGAGTCTTGAATCCGGCGACAGTCCCTCCCCTGGCCATTCTTGTTTGAAGTGGCTGCTACCCTTCCTCCTCCCCGCCCAGCAGGCCTCCCTGTCCCCGTCTCTTCCCGCACCGCTGCCCTTTGCAAACCACCGAGCAGGACAAGAAAGGAGGCAGGAAGCAGATCTGAGAACAGGGCACCGCCGTGTGGGAAGGTCGGGAGGTGAGGCGCTTGGCCACCTTGCCCGCAGAGCGCAGACTCCGGGCCCAGCGACGGGCAGCGCTGTCTGACGGGCTCACCCTCTTCTGTCCCAAGTCAGCATCTTCTGTTTTTAAAACCACTTGACCAGAACACAACCACGTGCCCTTCAATTCACCCGTTAAGATGTGCACGTCCCTGGCTTCGCTCTTCTCCCAGAGTCGTGCGCACGGCAAGCACCGCGGTTCGGTTGTAGACGTTTGATCACCCCCAAGAAGAAACCGTGTCCTCGGCCATCACGCCCCACCGCTCCCAACCCCCAGCCCCTGGAAACCGCGAATCTACTTTCTGTGTCGATGGAGTTGCCTCGTCTGGACGTTTCAAGTCCACGGGATCGGGCCCTGTGTGGCCTTTGTGGCTGGCTGCTTTCACGTGGCGCCCGGTTCGTTTTCGTCTGGGCTGCAGAGCGCATCCAGAGTTCACTCCCTTTTCGTGGCTGAATACGGTTCCATTGTGTGGACATTTTATTGACCCAGTGATCGGTGGACAGACGTTTGGGGTGGTTCCACTCCGTGGCAGTTGTGAACAGCCTGGTGTGCACGTTCACGCATGCGTTTCCACGTACCGCGTGTTTTCATTCCTCTCGGGTACACTCCAAGGAGTGGACGTGCTGGGTCAGGTGGTACCTCCGCAGCTCACCCCTCAGGGACCTGCCAGGCTGTTCGCCAAACCTCCGAGGCCAGCACCCAGCCGCTCCGACTCCACCCTGGCCAAAGCGGGCTCCCCCCGGGGGTACTCACCACTCAGAATGGGGTGCCATCTGGTATCCCTTTATTTCCCCGGAGGTGAATGGTCAGGACACTGGTCAGGCTCCCCCAAGGCCTGTGAGCCCCCAGGCCCTGCGTGTCCCTGCCGGCCCGGGGCGGAGGCGGAGGCGGATCAGCGCGCCCGCTCTAGCCCGGCCTCTGACCTGGGCTCGTGGGCCTGCTGGGGATGACAAGGACAGCCCGGGAAGCGGTGACGTGCCAGTGACAGCCGTGCCCTTCTCTCCCTCCTTTCCCGGTGCCGTCCTTCCCGGAACCCAGCAAGGAGAACTTCAACAACGTCCCTGACCTGGAGCTCAACCCCATCCGGTCCAAAATCGTCCGTGCCTTCTTCGACAAGAGGTAGGCCCCTCTCCTGGAGCCGCCCTGTGGCGGTGGCCCTGTCCTTGGGGGAGCATCTTGCCCTTGTGATTTCTCACAGCCCTTGTGTGCTCAGAGCAGGCCCACACGCCACGCAGAGAAGGGGAGGGAGCTGTGGTGGGTGGGAGTTCTGAGCACAGGGACAGGTCACCCCACGCTTGGAAAAGGGATAGAGCAGGGGTGTGAGTACCAGGAGGCAGGAGGTCACCGGGGGCCATCGGGGAGGCTGCTTCGGTCTTCTCATCTGTTAAGTGGAGCTTGTAACAGCCTCTGCCTCGAGGGGTCGCTGCGAGGGTGCGCAGAGGTGATGGGTGCCAAAGCGCTAGGGTGCTACGCTTGTTCCCTGGTTCACAGATGGGGAGACTGAGGCACAGAGAGGTGGTGCACCTGGGCCGGCATCTCAGAGCTGGGCTCCGACCAGAGCGCACGCCACCAAATGTCCAGTGTTGTCGGAGTTGAAAGACTCACGTGACTGAATGAAGACTCAGAGTCTGAGGCTACTTTGGGGGGCAGGGGTGGGTACGCCCTCCCCAGGCCTGCCACCCTATGTCTGCAGAGACTGCTGGCACGTGGGGAGAACCAGCAGAAAGAGGAAGGAGGGGAACGGGCCACACGAAGGGTGAGGACTTCCCTGACCCGTTGCAGGTTATGTGGAGCCTGAACTCAGCTCTGGCTGTGCCAGGGCCGTGGGGCCGGAGCACAATGCTGAGCCTCTCTGAGCCTCGCCTGTTCATGGGGCGGGGGAGTAGAGAGTCCTCAGGCCTCCCCAGGAGATGCAGAGGCCTCCCTCCAGGGCCCATGGGACAGAGTGACCAAGAGTTCAGCAGGCAGAGTGGGGAGAGAAGGTGCTGCAGGAGGACAGCACGTGCAAAGGCCCGGTAGCACAGGGACAGCCAGTATGAATGGGGGAGGGGGCCTGGCTGGAGTGCAGAGAGGCTGAGCAGGGTGAGCAGAACGGGGATGGCAGGGCAGTGCCATGCAGCCCCTACACCAGCAAGAGGCGTCCTGATCTCAGCCTAGGGGCAGCAGGGGGAGAGGTGTCACTGATGGATTTGAAGGTGGAGTGTGGAGCATGAACCAGGTCTGCATTGCACTCTGGTTACCAGCTGGTTATAGGGGTGGAGGCCAGGGAGGGGGTGTATTGCAGTTCCCCAGGTTGGGCGGCTGAGACTGAACCTCCTCGGCCCTGGGAGACCCAGGTGGGGGGTTGGGGGACTCAAGTGCTGGGGGAGCCTCGGAAGGCATCAAGCTGGGGACGGACGGGATCCAATCTGCCTTTTGCAAAGCTGCCTCTGGTTTCGTGTGGAGTGCAGTGTTGGAGGACACAGCTGAATGGTGGAGGCTGGGCCAGGCCTTGGTGGGGGGCTGGGAGAGAAGAGGAAGGTCCCAGAGAGACGGAGGGAGTGATGTTGGTGATTGACAGGACGTGGGTCATGGGAGGAGGGAGTCAAGGGGACGCCAGGGTCTGCAGTGAGGGCAGCTCACGACCCACCTGCTTGAGAGAATTGCCATCGGATGGGCAATGATGCTGGACGATGCGGGAGGTGGAGGGCAGTGGCCGAGTGGGGGTGGTGAGCGTCTCCCCCATGGGTCCCGGAGCCTCAGCAGCTGCTTAGAGAAAATGGACATGGAGAGGAGGAAGCATTGGGTGACTCGGCAGGTAACTTGGATGTCACCGAGGAGGGGAAAATTAAGGAAAAGCCCCTGTGGCCTGCATCCAGATCTCGGGGGACTGCAGCTAAGCTCCTGCACCTCTACACTCTTAGCAGCTCATCTTCTGAGTCGTGATAAGGAGGCAAAGGAGGACCTCAGGAATCCCAGCAAAAGCCTTGCTTCCCAAGTCCCTGTGGGAACAGGACAGGGATCCGAGGAGCTGGTCTCAGAAGGCAGGGTCTGTCCCCGCCTCCAGGGGATCCTTACAGAATCATCAGAAAGTTAAAGGAAGTGAAAACATTGCTCTAAATTGGCATCTTTGCAAAAAGAACGAAAGCTGCCCTGTTCTCTTACTGGGAGTGGAGAGCAGGTGTGGCTGGCTCCAGGTGCTGAGTCTGGGTTTCTTCAGCCTTTGTACTCTCGTTGCCTTTGGACACCATGATGTTGTCCCATGTGGACCTCCCAGGAACACGGAGGGGAAGAGACCCCTCTCCCCTGGCGAGCATGGGAGGGGAGGTCATGCGATACCAGCCTATGGGAGGTCGCTCCCAATTAGTTCCTTGCAAAGGGCACCAGGGTGTCTCTCTCCTCTGAACAAAAATCAGATGGCGAAGCAGCCTGGTTCATGACCTTTTCTGAGAAGGACACATGGCCTGCCTTTCCCGGGTGCTAATCTTAATCTCTCTTGCTGCAGCCTAAACTGCTTGGGAAGGAATGTGAGCCAACCCCAGTGAGAAGTGCCTCTGGGGAGCCCGATAGTTCCAGGGGCTATTTTTATGCCCCATGAATTAGGTCTGTGCCCCTGACAGTAGAGACTCAGAGGTTCTTAAGAATCTGTTAGGCCCTGGCCGGTTTGGCTCAGCGGTTAGAGCGTCGGCCCGCGGTCCAGAGAGACCCGAGTTCGGTTCCGTTCCCGCTAAGGGCACGTACCTCAGTTGCAGTTTGTCCCCAGCCCTGGTTGGTCGTGCGGGTGGCAGCCACTCGAGGTGTCCCTTTCACCCTTTCACGTTGATGTTTCTCTCCCTCTCTCCCTCCCACTCTATCTGAACAAAAAATGGAAAAATGTCCTCGAGTGAGGATAAAAAAATAAATACTCTGTTAGGAGCAGTGAGAAGATTTATAAGGCAGAAGGTTTAAGGGGAGACAGAAAACTATCAGACGAGGCTCCCTGCGTCCGGGGAAGGTCTCGTCTAGTCCCAGATTTGCAGTTTTCACAGTCCACCCTCCCTATTCCAGGCTTGGGATCCAGCCCGTTCGGGAGTCTCCTGGGATGGAAAATCGAGGCTAGTGGGCTGTGTAAACTGTGAAGTGTGGTACCCTCTTCAGGGTCAGTCAGTGTCTGAAAGAATAGATGGGCCCTAGACGGAACCACAAGCCTTTTTTAAAGCCGCGGTACAGTCCTGACCGGAGTGGGACCCAAGTAAATGTTGAGCTCTACCCCTTAATTGTTCGTTGTCCCGGGCCAGCTGGAAAGTGCCCCTTCGCAAGGACGCTCAGTAATTGCGGGCGACCCTCGGCCCCCCGTTCTGATGACGACTTGCTCCTTCCTCCGGAGCTGACCGGCGTCTGCGGTCGGAGTCGGTGGCCTGAGGGTCGGGCGGCTGCGGGTCAGGAGCCTGGGTCTGCTTGAGGTCCTCTCCAAAGCTGTCGTCTGACAACTGTTCTGTGTGGGGCCCTCGAGAGCGGGTGTTTGGGCCACGGGGCCCCTCCCAGCTGCTCCCCTCGGCCTCTGGGCAGGACCACCACCAGCTGTATGTAAATGAGCTGGTGGCTTCTGCTGGTGCAGCTATTTATAAAACAAGTGTGAATTTCACGTCACTTTCACTTGTCACGAAATGCCATTATTCTTTTGGATTTTTTTCACCGCCAAACATTCTTTCAACCATTTCGCACCGTGAAAACCCTTCTTGGTTTGTGGGCTGTGCAGAACAGGAGGCCTAAGGGAAAGGGCAGGAGGTGTACCTCGGGGAGCTCCAGGGCTGCTCTGAGCCTCGGTTTCCCCGCGGGTGAGTGCCCACCTCTGTGCCCCGCAGAGAAGCCAGGCAGCCCTGGGTCCCTGACAGGCTGCTGGGAGGCAGGACCCAAGGCCAGCATGGCCACGGGCGTGAATGCGGCCCGAAAGGCCAAGGTCTCGGAGCTGTGGGCCGTTTCTAACTCACTTCCCCGCGCCCTCGCCGCTCCCACAGAAACCTGCGCAAGGGGCCCAGCGGCCTGGCCGACGAGATCAGCTTCGAGGACTTCCTGACCATCATGGCCTATTTCCAGCCCATCGACACGGCCATGGACGAGGAGCAGGTGCAGCTGTGCCGGAGAGAGAAGCTGAGATGTGCGCACCCCTCCCCAGTCTGCAGCGGGCGGGGCTCGGGGGTTTCAGTGAGCGTGGCGGAGGTCGGTCCCAATGACCCCGCTTGCAGAGGGTGCCAGGGTGTCTGTCCTCGGAAACTGCCCCATGGCGGCCCCATGAACACCCTCCACAGCGGAAGGTCCTGGGAATAGATGGGTTAGGTGATGGGAACAGAGCAAGGCCCTTGGTTCAGACAGACCTGCTTCCAGTCAGGCCCCTGCACCTGCGTGGAACCTGCGTGTGGGGATCTGACTGTGAACCAGGCTGGTCCCGAGGCTCCATGAGGTGGCACGGGCAGAGTCCTTGGCGCACAGGTGTGCCCCGAAAGTTCGCCTCTTCCCTCGCCCGTGGTGCCGCGGTGCGTGGGCCCACAGGACAGCCTCTGCAGGGCCTTGGGCCATGCGCCTGCTGGCCCTGGACTGGAGCGTGCTGGGCTGTGATCTAGGCTGGCCAGCGGCGCGTCCCCCTCCCTGTGGGCTTCCCGGGACTCTGACACCCCTCTCCACCCACCCCGAGGCATACTGGTCATCGGGAACATGGAAATGGGGGTGCTGGTGGGAGCTGCCTGGGCTGGGCGTCCCACAGACCAAGGGGGGGAGCCAGGCCTGGGGCCATGGAATCGGATGAATCGGGTCCAGAGCCTGGTTTCCCCTCCCTGAACGGGGTGGCTGTGGGCAAACACCTCGACTTCATGAGCTGCAACAGCCCAGCCTGAAAAATGGACTCAGGGCGGCCCTGGCCTCGTGGGTCGTGTGAGGGTGAGAGGAGAGGATGCTGACCGGGGCCTAGGCAGCACTATTCAGATGCCAGTGAAGGGGATTTCGGGAGCTCGGGGCTCCCTGAGGGCAGCTCCCAAGGGCCCCTCCCTTCCACTCCTGGCATCTGGTGGCTGCAGCTGCTGGGTGATGGCAGCGAAGGAGCACAGTGGCGGTCACCAGGAGGGGGCGCTGACACCCCGCATGCCCACAGGGTCAGCTCAGCCAGGAACATCACTGAAAGAAGGCAGACTCGTCTTCATGTCCGTGCCCAGTGTGCCAGGCAGTCGTGGGCCTAATCCACCTGCTGTGGCTCCCCCGAGCCGCACACAGGGGGGTGTTGTTCCCACTTTATAGATGGGGAAACCGAGGCTCAGAGAAGTTGGGTCACTTGCCCGAGGTCCCCCACTGGCATTTAGGTTTCACCATTGGGGTCTTTTGCTCAGCTGGAGGTAGATTTACGAGCCGGGGAGGTCGGAAAGCAGGGGGACCCGACTCCCCTCCCGCCTCCCTGACCGGGTCCCTCCCCCACTGCCGCCCCCAGTTCTGTTCCACATGTATGACTCGGACAGTGACGGCCGCATCACCCTGGACGAATATCGAAATGTAAAGTATGCTCCTCGCCCGGCCAGAGCTCCTGGCGCCCCCGCCCGTGACCTGCGTGGAGGCCCGCGGTCACCTGTCTCTGCCCCGCCGGCAGGTGGTGGAGGAGCTGCTCTCTGGAAACCCGCACATCGAGAAGGACTCGGCCCGCTCCATCGCCGACGGGGCCATGATGGAGGCGGCCAGCATATGCGTGGGGCAGATGGTGAGTTCCTCGCCGGGCCTGGCACAGAGCCCTGTCAGAACCCTCCCCTGTTCTCCCGGCCCCAGGGGACCCACCGGAGGTCCCAGCCCCTGGGGGGCTGTGCCAGGCTGGGGGCCTGCAGACCAGCCGTGTGGCCCCCGGGGCGACGGGAGCAGCTGGCAGGGGCAGGGCGGGCAGCCTGGAACACTGGCTGCTTTAATGAGCTAATTTGTCAGGGAGTGGTCGGAGGGTGAGGCCCGGAGGCAGGGGTCAGCAGGGAGCTCTCTCAGGCCACCTGGTCTGGGGTCCTGTGGAACTAAGAGAATGGGACCGTGTGCCTGAAACAGGAGGGGGCTCAGCCTTCAGAGCCTGCTGGCTGTGGCGGGTGGAAGGCCCCTGGCCACCCCAGAAGAGACACGAGGATCAGAGCAGAGGCACCCCCCAGGCCACAGCCCCTGCTCCAGGCTGGGCGGTGGAGCTGGGTCGGCGAGGGAGGTGAACCGGTCACCGTGGTGTAGAAATGGCCGGGTCATGTCTCAGAGCGGCGGGCAGGCCCGGAATGACCCTGGCAGGCTTTCTCCACCTAGTGCTCCTGACACACGGGCCACCTAGCTGCCCGGCGGGGCCATCCTGGCCACTGCAGGGTGTTGAGCAGCATCCACTCACTCAGCGCCAGCTGCACCTTCCAGACCGTGACGTCCATGTCTACAGCCGGTGCCCAAGGCCCCGGGGGGCGGGGGGACCATTGCATTGGAGGGTCGCAGATTGGCGCTAAGTGCAGTGGTAACTGGCACTCTGACCGTACAGTTGTTGTACCAGTGGTCAAGACTGTTGTCGGATTAGTGGAGGCCCCGGCAGGCGACCCCACACACTCCTCTCCCACAGGGTGACCCTTAGCATGTGCAGACACTGCACGGACATCACTGTGCAGACTTTCAGTCTCGGTTTTACTGCTGGGGAAACTGAGGCTCAGGAGCATGAAGAAGTTCCTGGAGTGTCGGGGCTGTGATCTTTGCTGCGCCCAGTGGGCTCACTCTCGTGGGGCAGAGTCCAGCCCGGCCAGCCCGACACGTGGCTCTGACCTCTTGGCGGGCATAGGACCCTCTCGATGGACTTTGTTCCCTGGGTCTCGGGTGGTCCCCCTGGAGCTGTCCCCTCCCCGCCCCTGTATTTAAATTAGCTGCCAATTTAGACACCAAGGCTGTGGGTTCACAGCCTGGGGGGGGGTTCCTGCTGGAGCATGCGCCCCAAGCCTGCTAGGACCTGACCTGCCCCCAGGGGTGGGCTGCGGTCATTTTATTGCCTGTATTTTATCTGCCTGCCGCTGGGGCCCAGGGGAGGCTGCTGGCCCTGGTGAAACCACCCCACTCAGGAACTTAACTGCAGGGAAGGGCTGGCGGCCTCGGTGGGGAGTGCGGGGATCCCCGCCCAGCCTCGAGCCAAATCCTCCTTTGACTTCATTACACTGTCCCCCTTTACCTGGGCCGGTCCCACGCCCGCTCCAGCCGGCCAGGTTGTCTTCATTTGCTGTAGTAACATTGTTGGCGGCTCAGCGCCGAGGGGCACAAACTCCGCGCAGCCTGGAGGCGGAGGCATCGCGGCCAGTGCCGGCTTCCCAGCCCTGTCCTGCGCAGCTGTCTCTGCTTCTGGAGCCTCAGTGTGCCCTTAAAACGTTTCTCGTGTCATCATGGGCCAGAGAAACAGCCGAGCTGTGTGCACCCAGGGGCAAGGGGCGGCCTCTGAGGACGCTGACGTGTCTGCCCACCCCCCGGACGGAGGATCCGTCACCCCCACGTCAATGGGCTTCCAAGGCCGGGTATTGACCCGACGCCTTGTTCTAGAGTGCTCTCTCTGGAGAGGCTTCTCGTCGTCAGGGGGAGCTGCTTGGCTGGGGTCTCAGCCTGGGGTGTTTCCCCGAACCCTTCGGCCCTCCTTCCTTCCAAGGGCGCCCACCCTCCAGCCCTGGGCTGGGGCCAGTGGGGCCTTGTCTATAATTAGCTCTCCTCCTGCCCTGGGGCCCTGGGGCTGCCCGCGGGGAGAGCTCAGCTGCTCCTCCCTGTGCCGTGGGCGGGCAGGGCAGGGACCCTAGGGACAGGCCCAGGCATCTGAGGACTGGTTGCATTTATAACATTTAAAAATATTGATAGTTGCCTCCTGTATTTAAAAAAGGAAGCATGGTGCAGAAACCACAGAGGGTGGAGAATCCAGTCTCGCCCTTGGAGGCAGCTCCCCTCGGAGGCCTTCCCTGCAAAGGCTGTAGGACCGAGCCCGCCTTGGAGGCTGTTGTGAGGTCTGTGCCAGTGTTCGCGTTGCCAGTGACGTTGGTTAGCACTCGGGACGGTGCCTGGCGAGGAGCAAACTTCCTTAAAAACACATGGGAATGACTCCCAGGGAGGTCCCCAGAGAGGTGTCTCTCCTGGACCTTCTCCCGTCAACCCCAACCCTGCTCCCTGAAGGGAACCGCCTTTGATGGTTTCTTCCCCTGATAAAGTAAGAGAGAAAAGACAGACACAGTGTCCTTGCACACCTGCATGCCCTTTATTTTTTATTTCCACACAATGGCGTTGAAATGGCCTGGGGCTGCCTCTCCTCTGTGCTGACCCCACATGCGTGGCAGGCGGTGGGGGTCGGTGAGCAGGGGAGGGGGTCCTCAGACATCTCTCTGTGCCTCGTTTGTGTTGTTTTTTTTCCACGGTGGACGTGTCTTGGCGCCTTTCTCTCTTGGCATGTATAGATTGCTCGTTTCTTAATGGCCGCGTGGTGGTCAGTACCGTGGACAAGTGACGTTTATGAGGCTGGGCTTCTATTGGTGGGTGGGCTCTGGGATGCCGCCTGGTTTTCACTCACTCGGGGGCGGCAGGGGAAGGTCTCTGGAGGCTCTTGGGCTAGATCTGAGAGTAACAGCAAAAGGGACAGGAGCCCCACTTACTGTCCCGTGAGGTCCCTGTGCCCAGAACAGGGAAGCCACAGAGGGAGGCTGGCACTGCCCATGACGGGGAGGCGAGGGCCCACGGCCAGACGCTATCACCGTGACTCACTGGGCACACGGGCCAGCCCTCCGTCCCCCTGCCCCTTCCCCCAGTGGGATCAGCCTGGAACCGGTTCTTATCAGTGCTGCTGCGAGGCAGGACCAGGAAATGCAGCAAGTGTCTGGGTGGCCGCAGTGCTGGGCCTGGCGGAGAGGTGGCCTTGTGGGGAAGGAGCGGCCCATGCCTCTGGGCCCACCCCGCTTCCTGTGCCACCCTCATTCACGGGGTCCTCCCTGGGGAGAAGGGGGGCGCCTGGTGACCCCAGTCCACCTAACCTCCCACCCTCTAGCCCGCGAAGGGGACGTCGGAGTTGGAGTCCAGGGTGCCTGGCCTTGAGCCAGAGGACCAGTGATTCAGAACGATCCCTCCTCTGACTTGACCCAGACGGTCCCAACCATGTGTCGGGGGTGGGAGGGAGGCAGGCAAAGCCTCCTGGGAGAAGCCACTCACCCGGCCTGTGCTCTGTCCCCAGGAGCCTGACCAGGTGTACGAAGGCATCACCTTCGATGACTTCCTGAAGGTGGGTGTCTGGGAAGAGGGTGTCAGTGTGCCGGTGGGGGGATCCGAGGGGGAGCCAGCTGCTCAGGAGACTGGCATCTCCGTGGAAAGGGGTTGAGCTTGGGTGTGGGCTTCCAAACCATTTAAACTGGTTTTATTTACATTTTTACTGAAAAAATAACCTTCACGTGTGGTCAAAACAATTTAAGCGGTAGGATGGGTATACAATGAAAACTCCCCCTCTCATGCGAGTCCCGCCCCCCTCCTCAGAAGCAGTCCCTGTTCGCAGCCGGAACCAGGGTTCTGGGATGTTCTGTGCCCAGATGAGCACACGCTGGAGCCGACCGTGGGTCCGGGCCCCTCGCTTTTCTCCTCCTGTGCCTTCCAGGCGGCTGCCGGCTCTCCCGCGTCCCCAGCTGGCTCTCCAGCCCCCACTAGTGGACATTTGGGCTCGCCCATCCTTCCCTTCGCGGATGCGCTCCCAGGAGGGAACTGGGACCTCCCACTGCTCGGATAGGAGATGAGGCCCCGCTCTCTGCCTGGCTCTTTGGCCCCGAGCACCATCGGTGTCCCCAAGTCCTCTCTGGGAGTTGAGGAAGAGAGGAAGTCAGGGGGACTGTGTGTGGAGTGGGGCTGGGGCTCCAGGTGGCCACAGCCCCCGCGGAGCAGAGGGACGTCGGCCGGGCCCTCTTCCCAGTCTGCGCCCGACCAGGCCCGTCACCAGCAGCACAGACCTGGCTGAGACGGTGCTAGGGAGTCTGTCTGTGGTCTCCTTCCGCAGGGCAGAAATAGGGTGCATTTCTTTTTTTGCCTGGCAACCAGCTTTCCCCCCAAAGGCTGGCCACCCGCCATGCCTCCAGCCCGTGGGGGTCTTTCCTGCACAGCCAGCGCCTCCCCGTCCTGAGATCCACCAGCTTCCTTGGTGACCCGGTTGCCACCCGCACTTAGCAGAAGCCATGCTGGGTCCCAGGTACCTCTCCCTGGGAATGTCTCTTCACCCGCTGAGGGCCAGGGCCGCTCACGTGGAAGCAGACGTTTTCTCTGCACCCCCACACCTCCCCGAGCAGGTGCTGGAGTCCAGGAGGCCCCTGGGGACCAGGGTGTGACAGGGGCAAGAAATGTGCCTAGGCCTCCCTGCCGCTTTGATTCCCCCCTTTCCAGCCTTGTGGCTGTACCTGGCGGCGCTGTGGGGGACCGCTTGAGCCTGAAGTTCTTACATAAGCGGGGAGCCTGAGAGGTCACCGCCCACCACTCCTCTGGCCTGTTGGGATCCCTCCCGCCCTCTCCGTCTGGGGCCTTTCTGGGCCCCGAGTGGCCAGGAGCTGGGAGCACACGGCCGGGCGTGGTGGGCTTTGTGGGGTGGCAGATAGGGTCTGTGGCCTAAATGTCCACTGGGGCCCCAGCCAGGACGCACTGGGACAGCATTTCCGGTGCCAGGTATGTGGCGGTGGACATGGTCTGTGGGTGGGAATTCCGTTCCTTTGTGTGAGCTTGTCGGTGCAGAGCCTGGGTGACTTCCTGCCCCAGGGAGGTGATACAGACTAAACTGCTGTCACCTTTTAATTAATGACACGCTTAATGAAACCTCACCACTGCAGAGCCCTTAGCAGCTCGCAAAACGCTCCTGACCACGACTCCACCTGCACCGCGTGTCCTGTGCCGCGGGCTCAGGCGTGGTCTCGGTGTGTTGCTGCTGAGAAGGGGGTGCCGTGGGGCGCAGGGATTTGCGTGGAAACCGCAGAGCCTGAACGGTGGGTGGGGACTCGGTGACGTGGAGCCGGGAGCGTGGCTTTGGGACTTGGTAACGATTTGCGGTGCGGATCTCCGAGGACCCACGTGTCAGACCCGATCCAGCAGCGCAGAGGCCGCGGGGTCGGCGCCTGGCTGGCCTCCCGGCCCGCACGGACTGGCGGAGGAGGGAGGCGGGGAGCCGGCGCAGGGCTGCGGGCCGGGCGAGTCCTTCTCACGCCCCGTCCGTTGCAGATCTGGCAGGGGATCGACATCGAGACCAAGATGCACGTCCGCTTCCTGAACATGGAGACCATGGCCCTCTGCCACTGACCGCGCCCCGGGGACCGCACCGGCACCGCGCCGCCGCGGGGCGCACGCAGCCCCTGTAAATAGTCCGCACCCCTCCGCTCGTCCCGTTCCCCCGGCGCAGGGCATGGTGTGTGGGCTCGAGTGTTTTTTCTCTAATAAAAAGGAACGGGGTTTGTTAATGAACGTGGCTCCTGTCTGTGTCTCACGTCCCCGCGAGGGCGCCAGCTGCGTCTGCGGAGCGGCCGCGCGGCCTGGCGAAGGCTGCTTTGAAGAGGCCTTTCCCTCCGCTCTGGTTTATTTTGATCAGGGTCTGCTGTTTCCCCTGCAGAAGTGCGGGGATAGTCAGCGGCTTCGCCATCCGAGGCAGCCCAGGGAGGACGCAGCTCCTCGCTCCCCGGGGTCGGGGACTTGGCCTGGGCTTCCGGGTGTCACGCCAGCCCCCGGGGCACCTGTCCCGGCCGCGGTGCCCTGAGCCGGCCTCGAGGTGCTGCGGGCCCTCCCGGCACACCCCAGAGGCAGCAGGATGTAGACGGCACAGCGGGAGGTGGCCGCCCCAGGTAAGCAAGCATCTCCCAGCTGCGCTGTCACCTGATTCCGGGAGGCTGTGGGCCGCGGGTAAGTGAGCAAAGGGGGCTCAGCTCAGGTGGGGCCCGTGGCCCGAGTGAGCAGAGGGCCGGCCCGTGCCACAGTGGTGCAGCCACGGTGGCCTGCGCCCCGCCCCCCGCCCCCGGCCCGGAGCTGACGGGCACAGCGGGCCCTGGTGGAAGCCGGCACTGTCCGGGTCCCCCTGGTGGCCACACGAACGGGCTCGGTGTCTTCACTGACACTCGCGGAGGCACCGTTCCAGCCCCTGAGAACGTTCTCCTAGGAACCGGCAACCGTTTGCACTCTCATTTTTAACGCACGGTTTTGACACGGCTGCTCTGCGGTGCTGTACCCCCGCACCGCACCGGGGTTCAGGCCTGGAAAGGCGCAGATGGCATGCCGCGAGGGCTTTAACCTGTTCTTGGCCTGGTTCCCGGCTTTCCCAGAGGCACCACCTTAACCCCTCATCTGTTTCATGCACACAGGAGCAGATAGGTTGTTTAGGATGAAGGTAATGTCAGCATTTAAAAACCAAAGCAGAGCGGCCGGGTGAATTAGAAAGAAGTGGGCACTGTGAATGGCAAAGTCCTGAGGATGGCGGACCCCCGTGATCACTGGGTGAGAGGGCAGGCTCCTCCTGCATCCTGTCATCAGTAAGGACTGGCAGGAGGGGCCGCGGCCTCTGAGCCCCTGGGCCTGAGAACACTGGCAGGGACACGCCACCACAGTCTCAGGAGGCAGCTTCACGAGTGGACTGTGGCCTCCTCTCCCCAGGCTGGCAGGCAATGGTCAGCCTGTGGGCCCAGCCCTGGTAAGTGATGAGGATGGTCTGAGTCCCGTTCGGAGCTCTGCGCCCTGGACTAGCACTTAACTCGGCAGATGCGTGGGCACTGGGAGCGGTGGGTCAGCCCTCAGGGGCCACAGGCTAGTGGGAAAGGACCAGGCCTGAACACTAGGAAGCAGAAGCCAGGCAGTTTCCTGGGGCGGGGGAAGGGGGTAAGCTCCCTCCCACCCCCCTGCCTGCCCCTGCTGCTGGGATGATCCTGGTGCCCTTGGGTTTCCTGGCTGCCAGCAGGAGGGATCTGGAAAGTCACTGCACGGCCTTGGGGTGGGAGTGGGGGTCTGGCGCAGGAAGCGGCTCCGGTGACCGCCCTGCAGCCTTTCGGAGGCGTGCACCCCCTCCCTGCCCTCCTCCGCGAGAGATGGACCCTGGGGGTCACTGGGCAGCAGGACCACTGGCTTGGCCACAGCAGGCCTGGATTTTCTGGGATGCTCCCAATTTTCTCAACAAAGGCAGTTCATTAATGTAAAGTGTTTTTATAAATAATACATCTCCCATCGGCCCCCATGCCCTGAGCGTGTTTGGGGGATGTGGGCACACATCGAATGGTCTCGCTTGCAGACCGCAGAGGGCCTGGCCTGATGTCTTTGGCGCTTGGGACCACTGTGTACCTTAAATAGCGGATTAACGTGGGATTTAGTCACTGGGAGCCATCCTGCTGCTCGGAGGAAAGCTCGTGTTCCGTCCCCGAGTCCGACTGGCAGGGTCAGGGCTGTGTCCACCGGGTGGGCCCGGGGCTCCCCTGGAGCTCTCCCACCGGCTCCAGCGCCGTGTCTGTGAGGCGGGGCTTCTGCTCATTTGACCGTGTGGGGAGTAACCAGGGTTGGCGATGAGTTGGTACAAACCTCCCAGAAAGGGTAGGTTAACTCCCCACCGTCTAGCGGGGCTGCTGGCCTTTGATGAAAAAGTTGAGGGTGGTTGGTCTGGGCACAGGTCTCGAGGTGGCCATCTGGCAGCGTGGTGTGTGCTGAGGAGACGGTGCCTCTTACCTGCTGGACTAGCAGGTGTGCCCAGGAGGGGCTTTCTGCGGCACAGACCCAAAGCGACCACAGCAACCCCCGAGTCCCCGGATGGGCCACCTCATCGAAGCAGGTGATGTTTGTTCTGAAATTTGTTCGGAAACAGGCAAGTGATAAGTCAATAGCTGTATCTGTTAACAGCCTTCTTTCTATCAGGAATGACATCAGTGACTAAAAGGAAATAAGCAAAAATCAATGCAAAGTCAAATATTTGAAGGAAGCTGATAAGTCAGGGCTTTGAGGGCCTCGGGCTACGGGGGAGAAGACCGGGCAGGGACGGTGTCCAGGTGGGGGGATGAGGTCACTTCTCTCTCTCGTCCTTTACCCAGGAATCAGGTCGGAAGCAGGATCTCGTCCTGCACTGCCCGCTGCCAAGGGGCAGTTCCAGGACTCGGCTTTTGGACGAACACAGCAGTGGGACACAAACACGGCGATTCGGTAGGTTACAAAGGGCTACGTAATGGAAATCTGACCCGAGCAGCTCAGGGGAAACATTCTGCAGCCACGCTGAACATGAATTATGGATAAGGAAACGGAGCAAGGTTACGGCAGCTTCCAGTTTTGGCCAAGCACCCTTTTAGGGAACAAGTTATTGCTCGACTTTAACACAATTCCATTATCTTCTGGTGCACGGACTAGAGAGCTCTCTCTGTGCTTCGCTAATGGGAGCAGGGTCATGAGCAGATCGAGTCCCCGTCACTGAGCCGCTGAACCTGTCCCCACCTGGCTGCATGAACAAGGCTGCAGCTACGCTGTGGCACTGGGTGCGGCGCGGCGACTACGTAGGCTGCTGCAGAGTTAAAAATACAAGTTGCCTTGGCAAGGGTTCTGCAAACACCTGCTTTGCAAGCTGTCCTCCCACACAGTGACCTTGGGAAGGCCTTGGAGAACTGAGTGGGAGGAGCCGGGGTTTTAACCACACTTCCCAGGGCGTGGCCTTTGTCTCCGCACTTCCAGAACCGGTGAGCACATGCCAGCACGGGTTCCGTGGTGTCTGAACTTGATCTCGCAGGACTGAAGACTGGTGGCTACATACATGGTGGCTGCTCGTCCCCTGGCCTGCTTGTTGGCCAAGTCAGCGGAGCCTGGGTTATAGTCTGCACCCCAGGAGTGGTTGATGGGCAGCAGCAGGGTCGAGGGATGTGCTGAGCAGCAGTTTACTGCCACTTCCAACTTAGAGAATTGACCAGGCGGCATGTGTCCCAGCACTGGGCAAGGGAAGAGACAGTACGACATGACAGGCTGTTTGGGGGGGCAGTTTTCCCTCCCTTCCCAGGGAACGAGGTCCCCGGTGCCGAGCCATCGATAAGCCTGCTGCTGGAAGCCCCCAGTCAGCATCAGAGGCTGAAAGCGCCGGCGCCCGCGTGGCCCCCCGGAGCCCAGCGAGAGGGAGTCTGCCATCGCACATCAGAGGGAGCCCCGGTCCAAATCGCCGCAGGCCCTGCAGCCTCGCCAGGTAACCATCTGGCCTGGCCGCGCGGGGGTGAGGCGGCAGGTCTGTGTGGCTCACAGCGCGGTGGCCCAGGCTGGCCAGCTCCATAGGCTCGGCTGCCACAGCTGCTGCCCAAAGCAAAGGCCCCAAGTCAGAGAGGAGGAGGCAGCCCCTGTCTAAGCCAGTCACGGGCTGGTCCCCGTCAGGCCCCCGGACTCACGAGAAGGCTGGGCCCTCACCAGGGGAAGCCATTTCTCTACAATGATGGGCAAAGCTGCAGGGGCCAGTGTTTATCATTTAGTTATAGAGCGGGAAGCACTAGCCTCTTATTTGGGGCCCCCACTTCTTGAGGGGGTGGTCAGCTTTCCCTTCCAGAAAGGACCAAACTCCCCGCTTGGGGAGATCCAGTGTCTGCTCTGAGCAGCTGAAGCCCCGCAGCCAGTGTGAGGTCTGCTCGCGGTGGAAGGCGATGCCCGGAATCTTTTAAACATGAGCTGTTGCCTGGCAACCAAAGCAGCACACGGCCTGGGCTGAAAGCACAACCTCGCGGCAGAGAGAAAACTCCCAGAAAATGCCCTCACGCACAATTCCACATGCGATTTTGTGGGTTTCTTGGCTCCTGGGCTGAGAACCCTGTAGTGTGGTTCTGAGAAAAATGACTCGCTTATGGATGGCAGAACCAGGCCACCAGGTGGCTGCCTGGGGCTGGGGATAGCTGGGAGAGAGGTGTGCCAGGGGACTGTCACCATACGCATGGCAGGAGGTGGCGAATCATTTGAGCAATAAAATTTTTTTAAAAATTTAATATTAGAACCAACACAGACATATTGTAAAGTAGACAGTTTTGAGACAGGATACAGACTGCTGCTGTCTGGCCCTCGGGTTCCCCCACGGCACCTCTGGGTGTCTCCCGTCTGCAGGGAGGCGGCGGGGGACGTCTGAGAAGCAGAACAAATCCACCGCCGACTCCAAGCGGAAGCAGCTCCTGAGAACGGCCGGCGGAGAAAGGTGCGGTGGGAGGGACAGCAGGGGTGGGCGCGGGCCCAGAGGTTCTGTCGCTGGGCAGATGCTGGTCTCCGCAGGAACTCGGAGCCTTTCCCCAGCGGCTGATTTCTCCTGGGATGTCGAGTTTACAGCAGGAGACACTGGCTGCGGTCGGCACGCTCAGAGGACGGTTTGGGTCCAACACATTCTCCTTCACAAAACCCAGGCACTTTTCATGAACGGGAGAAGATTGGTAAACAGGCCGGGAAAACCTGCGTTTGTAACGTTTTACACTGGACCAGCTGTTGGCAGTAACAACCGTTTAAAACTGTTTTTAATTGTAGTAATTGTCTGGGTCTGATAAAACTGCTGCAGAGCTAAAAGGGAGAATGTACCTGCAAAACAAACTGTGAACTCAGACGGGGAAGAACTGTTTCTTAGAAGAGAAAATGTCACCCAACGGCCGTCGCACTAAGACTGCGAGAGCTGAAAACCTGGGGGCCAGGGTGCTGCCCGCAGGACCAGGGGAGCACACCGGCTTCACGGCGGAGCCATCTGGCTGGAGCAGGGAGCGTCCTGCTCCCCAGGGGCAGGCTGGGCGGAAGCAGGGCCCCTGGGCTGGGCCTGCAGGGTCCCAGGCGAGCCCTCTACCTGGCTCCACGGGCCTCCCGGCTGGACGTGGAATTTTAATGACTGCCCGGAGCAGTCCGAACCACCTCGTGGACGGGGGAGCAGCTCCGCGTCCGTGGTCCCCGCCCCCGCGCCGGCTCATCCTGTGCCTGTGATGTCTCCTCCCGTTCCCGACAGCCCCTTGAGCTCCCTTTCTTCCCCCCTGATCAACACTTGTGTTTCTTTAAAAACAAACAAAAAACCGGTTTTATGAAACTTTACTATTTGGTTTTCTCTTTCATTAATGTGGTTTTATTATTTAATGCCTTCCTTCCCCTTCTACTTCCTCTGGGACCAGTCACCTTAAAGTGAGGGGACAGCTCTGTCCTCCGGTTGGCGTCCCGGCCTCGCCTGGGCTCTCCGTGTGCTGTGTCGCCTCGGTCTAGAGTTTACAGCTTTCCACTTTATTTCCTTCTTTAAACCAAGTTAATTTTGGAGTGTTTGGAATTTGCAGGTGTATGTTTTTATTATTTAGCTCCTTGTCAACAGGCCCCCAATTTCACTGTGGTAGGATTTCGGGTCACTGGACGTGGCCTCCATCTCTGCGATCTGACTTTCTCAGTGGTCGTGTACACAGTCTACGGGTATTTGAAAGGTACAAAATTCCATATATATCTATTGGATCAACTTGTATATTAAGTAGATCTAATGCTTAATGTTTCCTGCTCTGACCTGTTGCTAACCCACTAGGAGGTGGATTCTGCTTTTCTGTAGCGGCTGTGAGGCGGCACGAGGCTGCGGCAGCGCCGACCACGAGGGAAGGTCGGCCCCAAGCCTCAGGAGCAGGAGCTGCTGATCAAGCCCCGCAGATCTCGTGTCGGGTTCTCTGGGGGTTTTGACATGACGGCTCCTTCGATGGCTTCCTCTTCTCAGCCATTCTCCACTGCGGAGCCCCCCACTCGGAGGATGGCTGTTTAGTCAACGATTATATAGAAAATATCTGCTTTGTATCACCTGTTGTAGATGCAATAGTAAGCAAAATAGTCATTAATGAAGTGATATAAACATATGATTATAAACTGTGTTAAATGCTCTGTAGAAAAGGATGGCTAATCCAGGCTGACACTGGGTAGTGATGGTTGTGGTGGAGTCCGAGGAGCCCACCCTGAGTGGGTAGTTAAGTGGGTGTCAGAGTCTTGTAGACTCTGAGACCAGCACACCCAAAGGGGAAAGAAAGGGGCTGGAAAAGGTGGGAGCAGGGCCCAGAAGGGCTTTGTTCACAGGGATGATCCATGGGCGCCCAGGAGAGGCGGGGACCTGATACGGGGGAGGAGAGGGAATGTGGCCGTCGGTGTGGTTCTCAGAGCCGTGAGACTGGGACCATGAGATGAACCAGCCCGACAGCCCCCAGCTGTGCACAGGGATGATCCACGGGCGCCAGGAGAGGCGGGGACCTGATACGGGGAGGAGAGGGAATGTGGCCGTCGGTGTGGTCCTCAGAGCCGTGAGACTGGGACCATGAGATGAACCAGCCCGACAGCCCCCAGCTGTGCACAGGGATGATCCACGGGCGCCAGGAGAGGCGGGGACCTGAGACGGGGAGGAGAGGGAATGTGGCCGTCGGTGTGGTTCTCAGAGCCGTGAGACTGGGACCATGAGATGAACCAGCCCGACAGCCTCCAGCTGTGCACAGGGATGATCCACGGGCGCCAGGAGAGATGGGGACCTGAGACGGGGAGGAGAGGGAATGTGGCCGTCGGTGTGGTCCTCAGAGCCGTGAGACTGGGACCATGAGATGAACCAGCCCAACAGCCTCCAGCTGTGCACAGGCCACCAGGGGAACAGACGATGGGAAAGTGAATGCAGTTCGGGAAGGTGGGGTGTCGCAAGTGCACCCTGGGGTTGCTTCTTCCCCCAATCCTTTGAAACCTGGTGCAGAGCTCCTCTGTTGTGTTCAAATTCATAAACTGATTCTTCCCATTGTCTCCTGCCCCTAAACAGTGCTGTGGGGGAAGGTGAGCGCGAGGTCGTAGCTGCAGCCCGCCATGGTGTCACAGGACGGACGGCAGATGGGCAGAGCACTCTGAAAGGCTAGCTGGTCCACCGCGAACTCGTAGGCGTGGATCAGACCCCGGTGCCTAGAGAGAGCACAAAGATGGCCGCCCTGTGGCTTCTGCCCTTGCAGCGGGCATCTGAGACAGGACAATTCCTTTAGGCCCAGTGTCAGACACTCGGGACGAGAGGTCAGCAGGTAAGTGGACAGGTTTGATGGTGGGCGCCTGGCCTCACAGACGCCATACTAGTAAGAGCCACCTGCATGGGGCTCTCCCTTGTGTGGCAGCTGAGTCCCCCAGTAGGAGGACTGAACTCAGAGCCCTGGGCTTTGCTACTATGAGGAGGGTTCTAACCACCAGTCCCTAAGCCCTTTGTCTCAGCCCCAGCGCGTCTAGGCAGCCCTCCCTCTGCGTCCCCGCCCATGCCCCGCTCCTGCAGAAGGCGTCTGGTACTGTGGCTCTATACTAAAATTAAACACCGCTGACCTCCTGTGAGTGGTGAAGCTGTCCGGGTCGGCACTGCGCACCGCCCTCTCGTAGGGCACGTGGGCCGTGATGAGGCTGTGGCTGTTGAAGGCGATGTGGCGGACGGGGTGTCTGGAACACGAAGGGAGAGCGCTCTGGTGAAGGTGAGTTCCTGAGCACATCCTGCGTGTGCTACGCAGTCTCAGAAACGAGAGCTGCAGGGGACGTAGAACCTGCTAAGCTGAGCATTTCTTTTACAGAGGAGGAAACTGGGCCCCCAGGGAGGGATGTCTCATCTTAGTTCCCAAAGTGAGTTTGAGCCAGGCCCACTCTGTAAACAGGTCTGAACGCCCCACAACTTGGTGTGTGCTGGACATAAAGGATACACTCAGCCGCGAACAGCACCCATTCCTGCCCACCCCAGCTGGCACTGGACAAGTCGCTTGCGCTCTGAGCCAGGCTCCCCTTGTGAGGGCTCCGCGGACGCAGGCAGTCTGGGCTGTGAGAGCACATTCAGAGAGTCTGTGAATAAAATGGGTCGAAAAGGCTTTTCTTCATTCTAAATCCTTCCGTCCACTGCCTTTGAGGATCACAGCACCGAGTGGGGGACACAGGATGGACAGGCCCAGTGCGACAGATGCCTGCCGTCAGACACGCCTACCTGGTCTAGGCGAGCTGCACAGGGTGGGCAAAAGCAGGGTCGCAATGTTTCTAGAGCACGAGGGAGGTTATAGGCCACACGGAATCCAGGACTGGGAGAAGGGACAGGAGACCCAGGGTGGCAAGGGAGAGGGTTCTTGTGAATGATGAGAGTAGTAGAGTGTGAGCCAGTGAGGCAGGTGACCGAGCAGCGAGGCCTCAGCCTTGTTCTGGTGTACATGGTGACCTTGTGAGGGACAAGCCACTAACCACTGGTAGAACTGGATGGGCATCTACAAACCAGTGAGGAAGGCAAATGCTGGGACAGGACAGGTCTGGGAAGACCTTACTTACCCTGGCTTCACCAGAGTGACTCATCTGAAGGAACGCAGCTTCTCGGGGAGAAAATGCGGTCTGGAGTGCAGGCCAGTGACCTGCACTGAGGGGCGCCTGGGGGGGGGGGGGTGCTGTCCCAGAGGCCGGGTGGAGCCAGCTCTTACACAATTAAAAGGGATTCCGCGGTTGGGGAGTTTTACTTGCCTTTTGGCACCACCTGGTGGCAACTCAGTGCATCACCACAGAAGCCAGGAAAAAAGCCTAGGTACCCTGATGGCTGACATGACCCAGGGCTCTAGTCTGGTGCACACACTGGCACCGACCTCCAAGTAGGAAACCAATCGTTCTTTACCCCGGACACCGCTTGTATTTGACCTTGTTCTCACGACAAAGCCCAGTCCGAGTCTGCAGGCCTCAGCCTTCCACCCTCCCTGCCCCAAAAGCAAGGTCCTGGATGGATGTGGTGAGGTGGGGATGACCCTGTTCTAGACCAGGCTGCCTCTGCTTTCAAGGTCAGGAGGAAGCTGGAAAATATTTAACCAGTTAGGTCCCGCATATCAATGTACCTACACCTACCCCAGCCTCCTGTGCTTGGGATTGCCAGTTCCTTCCAGTCCTAAGTGACCTTCTAAACATCGTAAGGAAAGTCCAAGAACTGGGCAGGAAGTCATGCCTGCTGCGACTCTGACATGGAGGGAGAGGCCTGGCCAGCCCTGCCTCCCTGCCCCTCAGCCGGGGAGTCCCATGTGGTCTCTACCCGAGCTGGGAGTTGCCTCTCCACTGACCAGCTCCATTTCTGAGCCCGAGTTCCCTCTGGAAACTGGAGGAGCAGCATCTGGCTCGTGAGGTTGCGGTGAGGACTGCAGCCCCTAGATTGGCACTGAGCACAATGCCTGGCTGGGAGGTTGCTAGTATTCTCATTACTGTTATTGCTAAAAACAAAGAGAAACATCCTTACCTGGAATGCACCTCCCACAGCTTCTGGTTCATCCGATAATCCCACACGGAGACCAGGCCCTCCTCGCCTCCGCTGACGATCTTCCAGTCGTCCATCTGCACCGCGGAGACTCCGAGCTGGTGGGCAGAGATCGACAGGGCGATCTTGTCAGTGCGGAGGTCGTGGATCCTCACCCTGGAAGGCCCAAGACGAGCACGGAGATTAGAATTAAAGCCTGAACTGACAAGATCCTCCTCGGTTGTGCTGGATGGTCTATCACAACAGTCCTATGAAAACTAAGACCACAAAACCCCCGGGGGCTGAAACCTCTAAACACGTTATCTGCTCAGTATACTGCCCCACACAGGAGGCCAAGATGCAACAGGCATGAACTAGTTTAACCGAAATGGTTAAAAGCACAGACAAGAACGACTCAGGCCCACTCCAGCTGCTGCCCGGCGGCTCGCCCCGCAGAGGGCGGCTGAGCTCTGACTGCGCCCCTACATGGCACCAGCTGTCCACAGGGTGCGTGGGACTCAGCACGGAGACTCTCCTGGTGGTGTATACAACATTCTGTCAAGGGCAGGGGTGAATCAGTCACGCTTGTCTGCCACCCGAACCCTCACCTGGCTGGGAAAAGAACACTCTGCAAGTACTGACTCAGCCCTGTGCGCTCGTCACCACCTGTGAACTTGGGAAGGGAGCACCTGCGGGGACAGGACTGCTTGCTGTGTAATCACCTGACACCCCCACCCCCAAGGACATGCTCTTTATTGATTTTAGAGAGAGAAACATCGATTGGCTGCCTCCCATACGTGCCCTGACTTGGGAATCGAACCTTCCACCTTTCAGTGTATAGGACAACACTCTGAGTCACATGGGCCTGGGCAATTAAGAACCTCTAAAAACTCCTTTTCACCCTGGCTGGTGAGGCTCGGGGGTTACGTGTCAGCCCTCACACTGAAGGGTTTGATTCCCAATCAAGAGCATGTACTTGGGTTGCAGGTTCAATCCCTGGCCCCAGTTGGGACGTGTGCAGGAGGTAACCAATCGATGTTTCTCTCTAAAAATCAATGGAAAAATATCCTCAGGTGAGAATTAAAAAACGAAACTACTTTTTATTTGTTTGTGAACTTCCACATCTGAGATGGAAAGCTCTTATCCACTAGAAGCCCCAACATACCAGCTCCTGAAATAAGCCAGAAGAGCTAAAACTGAACGTGGCAAAATGTGTGTACAGGTCAACGGAGCAGGCCCCTGCTGAACCCACCTGGTGGGGGCGCTGGGTAAACAGCTCTAGTCTACGTGACCAAAAGCATGTGTCTGATGCCCAACATGTGGTGAGAAGAGATTATCTGAACCATGTCCTACACTTAGTTCTACGAGCACGGGCACATAAATCTATCATTTTCAGAGATCAGAGAGAAAATTATTTTGAACTGAAAATTCTATACCTAGCTTACCTATCAAACTTGAGGCATAATTAAAAGGCTTTTGTTTTCTTTCAACAGAAAAGGACCCAAAGCAAGCTACCTGTAGGCACTCTGAAAGAAGGTGATGAGCACAAGACGGGAGGGCCTTCGGAGCCCACACCAGGCCGCCAGAACAAACCCCGCAGAGCACCAGGAGACAGACGGCGTAGGGGAGACCTAACGTGTCTGCGGAGTCAACAATGTGCACAGGACAAACCCACCTAGAAGAGCTTCAAACGGCCACAAAGCGAAACTCAACATATGCTATCCACAAAAGGCATGTTGGCAGGTGACTAGGAGGAGGTGGTCATTTTAACACCAGAAAAGGGATTTCAGAGCAAAAAGCATTAGAGGAGAGTACAATTCACTTAAGTGTTCAGTAAAACTTACCAGGAAGAAAACCTCCATGGACCTAATTTTTTAAATCTCCAAATGTGAAGATTTAGATGAATAAATTACTTTAGAAGAAATTAAGAATTACCAAAAAATATATAAAGTCACAAAGAGCAAACATTCCCACAAAAAGAGACCCTGGCCCAGCGTGGAAGGAACTGCCCCACGGGTAAAGGGGAAAACTTCCACACTGCACACACGGCCAGCACTGCCAAGAAACCTGACGGAAGACGTCCATCGATCGCTAGCAAGGCTGAGACCTGAATAAAATATTAACTAACAGAATCCACAGCAACAGGCTGCAAACAAGCAGAATCCATCTAGCTCCTCTATTAGTATAATTCACCCTATTACTGTAACAAATAAAAAAAAAAATGGTCATTTCCATGGATGCTGAAACAAAATTTGATGAAATAAAACACTTCTTCCTAATGAGGTCTTTAAAAATTAGTGACCTACACACTTTTACTACTATTTGACATTGTTTTGAAATATCAGAGGGGAAAAAATGAGGGGTGGGTAAATTTATCATTAGAGATGACAATTCAGTAATAACTGTCAAAATCAATAGCTATATCTTATGTAGCAACAACAATTAATTTTAAAAACGTAATCAAAGAGCCCACTTATTATAATAGCTATTAAAGGCAAAATACCCTATCATAACTTTCTCATCTTTGAGTTCTACCATATACATTACACCAGCATAGGGAAGGCCTTTTTAAAAACCCAGAAGTCAAAAAGAAAAATATTGACAACTATATATAAAGTGTTTACGTTTTTCCACATGGGGGGAAAGAATCAAAAGGCAAAATGATCAACTGAAGAAAACGTTGGTAATAGGACAGCTGATTCCTTCAAGTTAATAATAAAGATTGACAATCCAAAGTTAACATGAGAGAAAAGAGAAAACAGTTCACAGAAAAAGAAATACTAAGAGCTTTTAAACATGTGTAAGATGTTCCAGTTCACTGGGGATAAGAGACATTAAGAAATGAAACGGTAATGGAACACACCACTGTGCCCTATCTGCCCAGCAGTTTGGTAGGATGCTCTGAGCCCCTCCGTGCTGGTGAGACCTGGTAGACAGTCACTTATGGTGGCTTATGTGAGCACAGATCCCTCTTGGGGAGTGCTTTGGCAGTATCCAACAAAATAAAAAAATTAACTTTCGACCTAGCAATTCTGCTTATAGGAATTTATCTAATATATGTGTACCAACGCACACAAACAAGTCCATAGCGCTTTTTTTTTTTTTTTATCTTCACCCAAGGACATTTTTACGATAGAGCAGGAGTAAGAAAGAGAAAGACACTGAGTAGCTGCCACCCACACGATCCCAACCAGGGACAAACTGCAACGGACGGACGTGCTCTCAGCGGAAACCGAATCTGGGACTCTCTGGTCCACAGGCCGAGTTCTAACCCCTGAGCCAAACTGGCCAGGGCAGCACTGTTTTTTATTAATCCTTACCTGAGGATATTTTTCCAATTGATTTTTAGAAAGAGGGAGGGAGAGAGAGAGACACTGATTGGTTGCCTCCCGCATGACCAGGGCCGAGGATCAAACCTGCAACCCAGAAGCAGGCTGATGCTCTAACCACTGAGCAAAACTGGCTAGGGCCCACAGCACTGTTTTTAGTAACAAAAGATGGGGCTTCTGTTTCAAGCAACTTGTTGACTCCGCCTCACTGAAAATCACTTCATACTGCTGGATAAAATACAACTAACACCCTTTCAAATGCCCTGTGCTTGTGAAATAAGCGCCTTCGAGCCCAAGCTGAAAACCAGCCTGAAGAGCTGTGGTGTCAGTGGCCCGTGTGTGTGGGTGAGGCTGTTGGCAGGTGCCAATCTCAAAAGCCAGTGGGTTTGGATCTTACCTCGACACAGGCCCACCCTAAGGGGGGGGAAGGGGTGAGAGTACTGAAACTCCTGCTTTATAAAACTTCTGTAAATGAAAACATAGTCCCTGAAATTAAATTCATTAGATAGGCTGGAAGAGTGTGTGAATTAGATGATACATCTGAAAAATTACCTAGAATGCAGCACAGAAATTACACAGATGAAAAATATGAATGAGGGATTGAGAAACAGTAAGAATAGAAAGGGACAGTTCAGCTAGTGTCTGAAGGAAAAAACAGGGAGTGTACAAAGAAGCAATATTCAAATAGTTAATGGCTACTATGTTTCCAGAATCAATGAGACACACACATACTCCCGCTCAATGAGCAATAAACAGAATATACTGAAATAATGGTCTCAGAGTATCACAAAGTAGGAATATGCAAAAGTCAAAAGAGGTCTTAAAAGCAACCTAAGGAAAAAAGACAGTACCTATTAAGGAATGATAATCAGACTGACAGGAAAAATTAGAAACATTTAAGTTGTCATAAGTTTGAACGGCACAATTAACTAGCTCCATCAGCTGAATGCGAGTTAAAGCAATTACAGGGCATGCAGACAGGGGCCCTGCACACTCATCAGAGAACAAGGCAGATCTCTGCACATGGCCAGGCGCCGGCCCCAAACACAGCCTTGCGTCTGCAGACACCCTTCAGAAAAGGCTCACGGTTCCCAGAACACCAGCTTCTCCCTATTTATGTCTCTGTGTTTTTAAATTCAACTTTGAATGTACAGGTGACCTGTTAAGTAACACCAAAAATTTTTTAAGAGAAAATTCTGGAAGGACATACTCGATCGGTAGCTGTTACCTTAGGGAAGAGTGGCAACTGAAAAATGAGGGGCATAAAGGTGGTTTTTACATTCTGTTCTTGACAGTGCCATGTTGTTTAAGGAACAGAACTCACTCATGACTGGGAGGGGCACCTGGGGGCCTTTGGAGGTAGGGCCTTCTCTGTTTAGGCTGGGTGGGGTGTGCACAGGCATTCTGTTACTCTAAATTGTACACACACCCCCATACACGCACTGTTTCAACTACAGATGTCGTCTCAGAACGCAGAGGGAAAATCCGCGAGTTCTTCCTGGCTAGGACATGCAACCAACCAGGTGACGCATATTGATGGCCACCTCTATTACTCCAGCATGCTGTTCGATCCCCCCTTCCCAGGAAGGAAGTTGGGACTTGAGAGATGCGGAGAGAAGGTGAAATGTGCCAGGAAACCGAGGTCTCCCGCCAGCACTCAGAGGCACTGTCCGGCCTGGTGCACAGGCCGGGGGAGAACAGGCATCAGCGTGGCAGGGACTGGGCCTGCAGCTAGCTGCCCCGCTGCCCGCTTCCTGGCAGGAACCTGAAAAGGATGGGGGAAGACGTTTTAGCCTAAATACTCTTCAGCACATATCTGGTTAATAAGGGTCTATTTTGCCATGGTGG